ACAGCCAGGCTCAGGGCTTCAAGGGTATGAGACTGGACGTAGGTTTAGGGTTTAGGGTTTAGGGTTTAGGGTTTAGGGTTTAGGGTTAGGGGTTTAGGGGTTTAGGGTTTAGGGCTAGAGGTTGGCCTTCGAGGTCTTCCAGGATGAGAGAATTCGAGACTCATGCTGGTTCAGGTTCTTCTCAGAAGCACGAAGGGGTTTAGGGTTTAGGGTTTAGGGCTTAGGGTTTAGGGTTTAGTATAGGGTTGAGGTCGCGGGCTTGGGGTACTCGTGCCCTTAAGTGCGCGGCAGAGGGCTGGGTCTTATAGCCTGAGGACTTGAATAACACCTAAATCCTAAAAACCCTAAACATAAAAACCGTAAGAAACCCAGACCCTAACAAGCCTAAAACCCTAGCAACCCTAAACACGTAAACCAAAGAAAGCCAGACCAAAAAAATCTCGACACTAAGCACCCTAAACCGCAAAACCCAAACACCCCAAAATTCCAAACCCTAAAGCCTTTAAACCCTGGACCCAAAGTTCCCGCTCTCCCTGAAGGCTCCAAAGCGTAGTTCCTTTTTGGGTTGGCAGGGTTTAGGGTTTAGGGTTTAGGGTTTAGGGTTTAAGGTTTAGGGTTTAGGGTTTAGGGTTTAGGGTTTTGAATCTAGTCTGCTACCCCAAAAAGGTACCTACATAGGAGCCTTTGGGTAGGCCCAACCGATCCGAGCCGCCATACCATCGGGGTCCGAAGAGTAGGAGCCCTCCGGCACGCCATACAGGACGGGGTCGTAGCCCCAGTTGAAGGCCTTAGAGGCAGAATGCTTTAGGGGGGTTGAGGGTTTTGGGGCTTTTAGGGTCTAGAGTTTTTAGGGTTTAGAGTCAGCTGACAAGTTTCCAAAATCTATTTTGCGAACAGAGTTTGTTGGAGGTACCCGCTCCGCTATTATCACAAGTTTCTGTTCGGACGGTGCTTGTTTTTGCGTTTAAGGGTTTGTGTTTTTAGGGCTTACGCCGTAAGGCTTGAGGCCCTAAAGGCCTTGGGCTCTAGGAATCTTAAAGAGCCAAAGCCTGGAGAATCCAGGTAATCCCGGCCAGTTCCGTGTAAAGCCTTCTGGATTTTCATTACGAATCGACGCCCCAAACAAATTTCGTGATAGGTAGCCCACGGGCCCGGCCGGACTGTGTGTAGCAAGTTTGTCTTGTCCGGTCACCCTCTTTAGCTTATACACACATTTTTCCGGATGATTGTGTTTTTGAAGGATTTGTGTTTAGGGTTAAGCGCTTACGCCATAAGGCTAGGCCTTAAGGTCCTGAAGGCTTGAGGCCCTGAGGGCGGTTCCCCCCCCCCCCCCTCCCCCCGCCCGCAATTTGTTTGGGGGGGTTGGGGGCGGGGGAGGGTGAGCACTTTTGGCCTTGTATACCAGCACAATGCCTGGTCTAGCGCGGTTGGAAATGTGAAGCCCTGAACCCTAAATTGCGACGAACGGAAGATGGAGTTTCAGGGTTAAGTCGGGGGGTTGAGGGGGTTTAGGGTTTAGGGTTAGGGTTTAGGGCTTAGGGTTTGGGGTTTAGGGTTTGGGGTTTAGGGCCTACAAGGAAGAAAGGCTTCCCAAACCCTCCGTCCGCCGGGGCGCATCCTTCTCCGCCACCTCCATCACAGCCATCTGCTGCCCTTGCTTCGGAGGCTGCTTCTAGGTGCGTGGAGGGGGGGGGGGGGGGGTTTAGGGTTTAGGGTTTAGGGTTTAGGGTTCAGGGTTCAGGGTTCAGGGTTTAGGGTTTAGGGTATGAAGGCCCTTGTTTCGGAGGCTGCTAAGGTGTTTGGGGGCTTAGGGTCTAGGGATTTAGGGACTTGGGGAGGCACGTATACCCCAGGAGGATCCAAAAGTCGAACCTTCAAAGAGTACCCTCTACTACATGCTACTACTTACTTCTCCCAAATCCAAGAAAAACTTCTATTATTCCTACTAGATAAGGAAACCCAAAAAGTTTAAAGTTCCGCTGTTGGAGAAGTAAGACTATTGGGGTTTGGGTAGGTGTTTGGGGGCTTAGGGGGATTTAGCTTGGGAACTGTAAATTGTAAGGACCGCGCGAATACTAAAATCACACATGAACACCATTGTTAACTCAAAGACTTGATTATGGAAAAAAAAGCATTTGTCTCAACTTCGAACCCCCCCCCAATCCCCCCTCAACCCCGAGTCCCTAAACCCTAAACCCTAGACCCTAAACCCTCAACTCTACACCCTCAATGCTCCCACCGGCCTTCAGAGTCAGGTCCCGCTTTCGTGGGCATGACAGGCTCTGCGCCTTAGACGCTGGGAGCGCGTTCTTGTAAGGTTTGTAGGGTTTGGGGTTTAGGGTCTGGGTTTAGGTTTTAGGGTTTGGGGTTTAGGGTTTGACGTTTAGGGTTTGGAGTTTAGGGTTTAGTTTAAGGTTTTAAGGTTATAGGGGATTTGGGGTTTCGAGCTCCTAAGCCCTTAGGGCTTACCAGGGAAAAAAGGGGGTTTAGGGTTTGGGGGTTACAACTTTCGAGTTCAGGGCTACATCCGGATATAGGGTTCCCTCCTACACCCTAAACCCTAAACCCTTCTTTTTGAGATCCTCGGGCTCGGGGGTCTCTGGTGGCCTTCTATCAATAGAGGGACTTTAGTGGGAACCCAAGAATATAGCAATAATATAATGGGAATAGGTTGCCTGGTTCGGGTTCCCATGAGGATCCTTTTCAATATGGTATCCAAAGAGGGACCCAAAAGTTAGACTTGGTAGCCCGGTGACCATATTATAATGAGGCACCCTTCTTTGGGTTATATAGTTACTTTGTAGGGAACCCAGACACAAAGAAATGGTACTGTAAAGGGTACCACTGGGCTACAAGGATGAGGATCCTTTTCAACATCGAACCCAAAGAGGGACCCCAATTTAGAGAATCCCCCTCCGAATTTCTTTTGCCGGGGCGCGATCTTCCGCGCGCTCCGGCACCGAGCCAAAGTCGAACCTCACCGAAAGGGATGTGTGGGGTGTGGGTTTAGGGTTTAGGGTTTAGGGTTTAGGGTTTGGGGTTTGGGGTTTGGGGTTTGGGGTTTGGGGTTTCGGGTTTAGGATTTGACGTTGGCCCTTGAAACCCTAAAAACCCTGCAAGGTCTTGTCGGATTTGTCGGCTAGGGCTTCGGGTCTCTACTCCCTCAACCATAGCTGGGGGGCCTTTAGATGGGCTTCGGGATATTCGGATGCTTCGGGACTAGGACACGAGATCTGACGTTTTTTTTAAGTGATTTGGACAGTGGGGTTTAGGGTTAGGGTTTAGGGTTTAGGGTTTAGGGTTTAGGGTTTAGGGTTCAGGGTTTAGGGTTGAGGGTTTAGGGTTTAGTGTTTAGGTTTTAAGGGATTAGGGCTTAGCGTGATTCATGTGGGCAAGTATGCCTCTGTTGTATAGTCGGAGAGGCTGCAAGGGAATTCTGTTTGTTAGGTCGTGCCGAACAAATTATTGACCGTGGGAGGGCTCTTGCACAGCTACCGTGGACCCTAAACCCTAAACCCTAAACCCTAAACTCTAAACCCTAAACCCTATAACCCTAAACCCTGAACCCTTTAACCCTAAACCCTAAGCCCATTCCTGGTTTGAATGGGAGCTTAGAACTTGACAGCTGCACTGCTGCAGTTTGCCTCGAGAGGTGCTCTGCTGTCTTGTTCATGGACTGATTAGGGTTTAGGGTTTAGGGTTTAGGGTTTAGGGTTTAGGGTTTAGGGTTTAGGAACCAAGATGGAGCTTTCGAGGTGTTCAGGGTTTAGGGTGTCGAGAGAAAGCTGCGGGGGTTTCAAAGTTGAAGGAATTCTGGGTTTAGGCTTTTTTGGGTTCAAGGTGGAGCGGGTGAAGGGTTGAAAGGGGTTCGGGTTTAGGCCTAAACCCAGAAGGCCCTGCAAACAACCCTAAACCCTAAACCCTAAATCCCGCTGTGTGGCAGGGGTTCAGAAGTCCATGTTTAGTGTGGGGCCTAGGGCTTCATCTTAAGATCTTGTCACGGTTATGAGTCCAAGCCAGGGGACGTGGGCAGGAGGTGGACATGGGTCATCCCGGCTGCCGCGAGCTTCCGCAAATGCCGGTCTCCGTTTGTGCCTTCCTCGCGCGCGCGCGCGGGCTTTTTGGTAGGGGATTAGGGTTTAGGGTTTAGGGTTTAGGGTTTGTGGATATAGACCATCTCGATAAGGTTCTGTTGAAGAGAGCCAGAAGAGGGTTAAGAAGGGCTCCCGTTTAAGGGTCCCCGTTGTCCTACCTAGGATTTGGGTTTGGGGCTTGGGGCTTGGGGTTTCGGTGCTTTGCCAGCAGGCGCATGGAACGCTTTCCCCAACAGCCAGTGAGGATAAAAGGGAAACTCTTACCGTGCGTTAAAAATCCATGCAACCGCAATGAAGCTAAACCCCCTGAACCCCAAAAGCTTAAACCCCAAACCTCATAACTACTCCGAAAATTCAAATACTCTCTTAGGTCCGATCTCAGAATTCTCGTCCCTTCCGTGGGCCCTAGACCCTAAACCCTAAACCCTAAACCCTAAACCCTAAACCCGTGGGCCTGCTCGAAAGCCAGGTACCGCCCTCGACGCCCGGAGGCCACGCTCTTGTCGCGCGCGCTGAAGTCGCGCACGTGGAGCTCCTGAGGGCGTGCAGCAGGGTTTAGGGTTTAGGGTTTAGGGTTTAGGGTTTAGGGTTTAGGGTTTAGGGTTAGGGTTTACTGGCAGGCAGTGGTTTCGGGTTTAGGGTGCGAAGCCCTTCCTCAAAACCCCAAAGTATGTAACAAGATGGTGGGGGTCCAGGTAAACCCTAAACCCTAAACCCTAAACCCTAAACCCTAAACCCTAAACCCTAATTCCTAAACCCTAAACCCTAAACCCTAAACCCCAAACCCCTGCCAGTAGCATAAGCCGAGGTGCGTAGATGACAGCATCGGCGCGGTGGCGGAAGGGCGGCACGGGAGGCATCGAGGCGGTGTCCCAGGCAGGAAGCCGGCCTTTGCTGGAGAAGAGGTTTAGGGTTTAGGGTTTAGGGTTTAGGGTTTAGGGTTTAGGGTTTAGGGTTTGGGGTTTGGGGTTTGGGATTTAGGGTTAGGGTTTAGGGTTTAAGGTAAGGCTTTGAGGTTTAGGGTTTAGGGTTTCGAGTTTAGGGTAAGAGTTTGGGGCTTAAGCTTAGCGCCTGGGGCCTCAAAAGCCCTTCATTCCTCCTTGACAGCCCCAAAACCCCTAAACCCTAAACCCTAAACCGCAAACCCTAAACCCTAAACCCTAAACACTAAACCCTAAACCCTAAACCCTAAACCCTAAACCCTAAACGCAGGTGAGGGCGCAGAGCAGGGAGCGCTCCGCGTCGGCAGAGCAGGTGACGGAGTAGGGGTCGGGCGCCTGCCCGGAGGTATTTAAGCTAGGGTTTAGGGTTTAGGGTTTAGGGTTTAGGGTTTGGGGTTTGGGGTTTAGGGTTTATGGTTTAGGGTTTAGGGTTTAGGGTTGGGGTTTAGGGTTTGGGGTTTAGGGTTTGGGGCTTAGGGCTTGGGGTTTTGGGATGATTCGGGGATTCGGGGATTAGGGTTTGGGGTGCAGGGTGTAGGGGCTTCGGGCTTAAGGCTAATTCAGGCCTTGTAGGGATTGTTAACTTAGGGATAAGGCTTAATGTCAAGGATTTAACGTGCAGGGTTCAAAGTTGCCGGCTTGATTTGTACGGTTTGTAGGGTTTAGGGTAAGCGTGTATGCGTACAAACAAGAAGTTTACACCCCCTCCCCAAACCAAAAACCTATGTACTGGGCTTAAGGTCTAGGGTTTAGGGCTTGGGGCTTAGGGTTTTATACGCCAAGCCCTAGAAACCGTAAACAAAAGCACGGTAATTGGAAAGACTGTGGTGTGGTGGGAAGGCCTTATGGAGTAGACCCTGGAAAAAGAGTATGCTCTATCGGTATAAGTAGCTATAATGGGAACCCAGAAAAAAAGAACCAAGAACCACCTCAACCCAAGCCCTAAACCCCAAACCCCAAACCCCAAACCCCAAACCCCAAACCCCAACCCCAAACCCCAAACCCCAAACCCCAAACCCTAAACCCCAAACCCCAAACCCTAAACCCTAAACCCTAAATAGTACTCCAAAACCCAGTATTGGCCTCCATGGTCTCGATCTTGCCGGTCAACGGGTGGAACGCCTGCACGCGGTAGGTGTAGTACTTGCCAGCCCACCTGCCAGTGGTTTAGGGTTTCGGTTTAGGGTTTTAGGGTTTGGGGTTTATAGGGTTTTAGGGTTTGGGGTTTGGGGTTTAGGGTTTAGGGTTCAGGGTTCAGGGTTCAGGGTTCAGGGTCCGGCTTCGGGACAATTGCCGGGTTTCGGGCTCAGGGTCTAGTATCGGGATGTGCAGGTCTAGGGGTTCAGGGTAATTTACGAGGAGGTGCTGATGGGTACTTGCGGCTAGGTCTGAGTAGGCAGCTTCTTTAGCATTGAACAAACCCGAAACCCCCTGAACCCTAAACCCTAAACCCTAAACCCTCGACCGTAAACCACTTGTGAAACAAAGCAAGACTCAGTTCAGGGTGTAGGGTTTAGGGTTTAGGATTAGGGTTTAGGGTTTAGGGTTTAGGGTTTAAGGTTTATTCTTTAGGGTTTAGGGCTTAGGGTTTAGGGTTTAGGGTTTGGGCCACCTAGAAGCTCCGCCTTCAACACGCAACTTTGACCCTGCGGCTCTAGCGGCTCTTATTCGTTGGGTTTTTGGGCTATTTGGAGCCTCTGGGTGAACGAAACAAACAAACCTCCTAAACGTGATAAGCCCTACAAACCCTAACCCTAAACCCCAAACCCCAAACCAACCGTTAAACCCTAAACCCTAAACCCTAAACCCCAAACCCTAAACCCTAAACCCCAAACCCTACACCCTAAACCCCAAACCCTAAACCCTAAAGCCTAACCCTAGAACGCGGCCTGCGGGGACATGACAAGCGCCAGACGCCGTCCTCCAAGGCTTTGGGAGTCTGGTGGCTTGGCCTTTCAACCATAAAACCGATAAACCCCTGTATAAAGATGAACACCATGTGAAGGGTTTAGGGTTTAGGGTTTAGGGTTTAGGGTTTAGGGTTTAGGGTTTAGGGTTTAGGGTTTAGGGTTTAGGGTTTAGGGTTTAGGGTTTAGGGCCCTAGATGAACCCCATGTAGGGTTTTGGGTTTAGGGTTTGCGTAAAGACCTGCCCAACAAAGCTCAGCTCAATCTGGGTTCGGACAAGGGGTGCGAGATTGTGTGCTTTAGGGGGGGGGGGGGGGGGGGGGGGGTTGGGGATTTTGTGGGGTTTGGAGTTTGGGATTTTCGAGCTCTGGGGCTTGCTTTTTGGGGTTTCAGGTTTGAGGTTTCCCTAAATCCTAAACCCTATATAATCCCTGAACCATAAACCCTAAACCCTAAACCCGAAACCCTAAACCCTAAAATATAGGGTTTAGGGTTTAGGTTTGGGGTTTGGATCTTCGCTGACTTGGCAAGGTGCCGCGGCGCCTCACCCGGCGTCATGTCGTGAGGGGCCGGTTGCTGGCTCTTCCTTTGCATCATAGGGTTTAGGTTTAGGTCTAGGGTTTAGGGTTTAGGGTTTAGGGTTTAGGGTCATAGGGTCATAGGGTCATAGGGTTCTTGAGGGAGGGGGGTTTCGTGGGGGTAGGTATCAAGGGAACCCTAGAGAAGCTTAGGCAGACTTCGGGAACCTTGGGTTCTATATTTTTCCTTGAAATCCCCCTCCCTTAAGAACCCTATGACCCTATGACCCTAAACCCTAAACCCTAAACCCTAAACCCTAAACACTATTGCTCATCGCTTCGGGCACGTGACCGGGTTTCGGGGGGGCCAGGGTTGCGGGTTTAGTTGCCTACGTAGGGATTTCGGTCCAGGGGCCTGAGCCCTCAACCTTAAACCCTACACCCTAAACCCTAAACCCTAAACCCCTAAACCCTAAACCCTAAACCCTAAACCCTAAACCCTAGTTGAGCCCTAAAACTCTGAGCAGCTGGAGAATGCTGGCATCCTGCTTCGGTCCGCTCCGAACACTACACTCAGGGTCTGCGGATTCGGGTCTGTGTCCCAGAGTAAGCTGCAGGTTCCCCCGAAAATTGCGGTATCCCTTTTGGGGTTTAGGGTTTAGGGTTTAGGGTTTAGGGTTTGGGGTGTAGGGTTTAGGGGGGGATTCTATTGTATTTGGGGTGTATAAAGGAAATGCCCACCTAGAAAACAACACTGTTGGATTCTGGGGGGTAGTGGGCGTTTGAAAACCTGTGCCACCCAGATTTTGAAAAGCTAGTGGGTGGGGGGGGCGGGCGGGGGGGGGTTTAGAACTCAAGGCGAACACACATCCCTCGAGAAGGCTTAGGTTAGACTGCGATGGAGAGGTTCGAGAGTACAGGGAGGGGGCCCTCACAACCTAGACCCTGCCCCCCTACGCACAAAAACCCCGAAAACACTGAAAAGCCGAACATGCACCAAAACCCTAAACCAGGCACCCTAAACCAAGACCCTGACCCCTAAAACCCGTAGTAGCCCAAGACCTTATGTAGTATGGTTTTTGGGCCCAACGCCCTAGAATGAGAGAGCCCTTAGAACCTGAAGGCCTAAACCCCATACCCTAAACCCTACACCCTACACCACAAACCCTAAACACTAAACCCTAAACCCTAAACCCTAAACCCTAAACCCTACCAACAGCTCCGAATCTGCGCAGAAAGGGTCTTCGGCCCATCGTAGACCAAGGCCTCCACAGACAGCGCGGTGGGCGCCCAAAGCTGAAGGTCGAGGCCTGGCTGGGGTTTAGGGTTTAGGGTTTAGGGCTTAGGGCTTAGGGTTTAGGGTTTAGGGTTTAGGGCTTAGGGCTTAGGGCTTAGGATTCAAGATTACATACATATGTATGTGTATATATATATATATGCACACGTGTGTGTGTGTGTGTGTATGTATGTATGTATGTATGTATGTATGTATGTATGTATGTATGTATGTATGTATGTATGTATGTATGTTTACTTCTGTTTAAGCTCTCATACTTCTGTGTATATGCATGTCTATACTTAAGAGCGCTAAACCCTTTGGAGTTTTGGGAGAAGTTTCGGGCTCACAGGTCGGTGTTTCAGGGGCTTTACGGGCTTCAGGGGCTGCAGCACGGGCTTTCGTGAGGGGGTTCGGGAGGTTTGGGGGCAATTAGGGTTTAGGGTTTAGGGTTTAGGGCTTAGGGTTTAGGGTTTAGGGTTTAGGCTCAGAGTTCCGGGCTGGGTGGTGTTAGGTAGTTCTAGGCATAGGTGTTAGCGTGTTCAGGGCTCAGGGTTCTGGGGCAGTTGCAAGAGGAGGACGCTGATGCAGCACAACACCCCACTTGGGACTGCAGCTTACAGTTTGGGACCGGGTTTAGGGTTTACAGTATCAGGCCTGGGTTTCTGCGTTGTTTTCTCGCGCCTAGAGGGGCTCTCTCTTTCGTTGAAAGGGTCTGGCTCAGTTGAATTAAGGGGTATGAGGTGTTTCTTCTTGGGATTCCATGAACAGGATCATTGCCTGGTATTTGTGCCTTAATTGGGCCGTGGGGCTGAGGGGGGTGGGACGGGTAGACGCTGGAGCGAACTGGATCACAAAATTTTGGGCGGGGGTAATAGAGCACCCCATGGCCCGTGACCCAAACACCTTAAACCCTAAACAACCCCTGACCCCAAATCCTGAGCCCTTATAAGTTGGGATGTTCCCCCCATATACTGACAGTCCTTTATGGGGATTATAATAGGGGGGGGGGGGGGGGGGTACCCTGAACCCCAACCTCTGGCCTAAACCCTAAACCCTAAACCCTAAACCCTAAACCCTAAACCCTAAACCCTAAACCCTAAACCCTAAACCCTAAACCCTAAACACCCCACTAGCCCTAGACTAGCCCCGAAGGCCGAGCCTCCATCGGCGCTTGGGGTGCAGCCTAAGGGCCCGTCGTACTTGAAACCTGGGCTCGTGGTTTAGGGTTTAGGGTTTTAGGGTTTAGGGTTTAGGGTTTAGGGTTTGGGGTTTGTGTTGAGCTGTTGTTTTGAGGCTCTTCCATCCACAGCCTTAATGCATATCCTCTGAGGAACCAGAAGCGCGCCAAAAAGACCACCCTAAACCCAAAACCCAAAACCCAAAACCCAAAACCCAAAACCCAAAACCCAAAACCCAAAACCCAAAACCCAAAACCCAAAACCCTAAACCCTAACCCGAAAGGTCAGTAGTTTCTTGCAGGCCTTCTTGGGGGGGGGGAACTTGCGCTCCAAAACTCGAAGCCCTGTTCCATCACACTTGTTTCGTGCTGTCTTGAGACCTTAGTTGCTGAGTTCATAAGCCCCCCCAAAATTGTACACTTTCAGTTCTATAGGGGATTAGAGTATACCAGAAAGTGTAAAGTGTACTCACTCAGCTACTATGAGACCTAGAGCCGCAAAATTGAACCCCTAAAACCCCTAAAAAACCCTAAAACCCCGAAAACCCCTAAATCCCATAAAGCCCCTAAAACCCCTAAAACCCCCAGCCCCGGCACTCGGAAGTGGTCCAAGCGGCAGTGGTCCAGAAGAACTCCGATCTGGACCCCTGCTGCACGCAAGCTCAAAAAAAAAAGAGGGTGATCCCCCCAAAAACTAAGGAGTGCTACTGGCCCTAGGTTTAAAAAAGGATTTAGGGTGTAGGGTTTAGAGTGTGGGGTGTAGGGTTTAGGGTTTAGGTATACTCCGCCTTGTGCTGGCATCCAATGACTTGTGTTTTTTTAAGGCTGCATGATGCAAAGAAGGAGAGGTACCTTGAGAGCTTCACAGGGCGGAATTGGGTTTAGGGTTTAGGGTCTAAGGGTGTCATACGCTATAGTAGAAGTACAAGGGAAAAGTTTAACATTACTGGTAGTTGCTTTAGAACCCCCAAAGACAAGGACATGATCTTGCATTGTGAGGGGGTTCTTGAGCACAAGCAAGGGGTAGCAGTACTCACGACAAAAAGCAAGGGGTTTCGGCTTTAGGGTTGAGAGTCAAACCGTCAAACCCCTAAGCCTCGAAACCCCAAACACACAAAACAACCAAAACCAAACCCCACACCCCGCAAAAAGCCCTTAATCCTAAACACTGAACCGTAAAACCTCAAGCCCTAAACCCCAAACCCAACCCTAAAGCTCCAAACCCCACGTGTCAAACCCCCCAACCACTCAACCCATCCAAAACCCTAAACCCTGTTCCCCAAGGCGCCTGTGTTGTCGTAGGTTTCCCCTTCCACACGAACAGATACCGCGAGTTGCTGTTTGCCTTGGGATTTAGGGCTTCGGTTTAGGGCTCAGGGCTCAGAACTCTTGGAACCAAAACATGCAACCCCCACACGGTTTTGGGTTTTGGGTTTAGGGTGTAGGGTCTAGGGTTTAGGGGTTTAGGGCAACATCTAACAGTAGCGTTCATTTAAATGTGCTGGACGCAGTTTAGCGCTCGGGGTTTGGGGTGCATCCGTACATGATCACAATCCTAAGCCCTCGACCCCCAAAACCCGTAATCCCCCCCTAAACCCTAAACCCTAAACCCTAAAACCCTGAAACTCATGAGGCCCCAAGCCCTGAATCCTTCAAACCCAGAACTCTCAGATCGGCACCCCTGCCCTCCCTACAACAAACTACCCCAAACCCTTCCTAACCCCTAAAATCCCTAAAAAACCAAAACCCTAAAAACCCTAAAAAACCCAAAGCCCGAAAAACCCTAAACACCCTAAAAAACCCAAAAAGAAACCCTGAAAACCCCCCCACCCCCCCCCCCCCCCCCACCCCCCCCCCCCCCCACCCCCCCCCCACCCCCCCCCACCACCCCCCCCCCCCCCGCCCCCCCTTTCGCCCCCCCCCCCCGCCCCCCAAAAAAAAAACAAACTATAAACTCTAAACCTAGAAACCTACAAACCCTATAAACCCTACAAGCCCTATAAACCCTACAAGCCCTAAACCCTAAACCCTAAACCCTAAACCCTAAACCCTACGCCCTAAACCCTAAACCCTAAACCCTAAACCCTAAACCCTACGCCCTGGCCGGGCGGCAAAGCTCTCGCGCAGCCCTGGCGGCCTCCTTCGGCACCCGGAGGCCTCGGCTGTTAGGGTTTAGGGTTTAGGGTGTAGGGGTTTAGGGTTTTAGGGTTTAGGGTTTAGGGTTTAGGGTTTAGGGTCCGGGGTTTAGGATTTAGGGTTAGTTTGGGGTTTGAAGTTTAGGGTTCAGGGCTTAGGGTTGGTTTGTGGTTTAAGGGTGTAGGGTGTAGGGTATCGGCTTTGGGGGTTAGGGTTGGTGTCTGGCATCACTATGCCAACGTACTCCTTGGACCAATAGTCCTCGGACCCATGTTTCTCCAAGCTGTCTGACCAGTCCGCTGTGCCCGTAGGTTTAGGGTTTAGGGTTTAGGGTTTAGGGTTTAGGGTCTAAAGTTTAGGGTTTAGGGTTTAGGGTTTAGGGTCTTTGGCCGCAGCCAAGGTGAGCCCACACGATGGGCAGGGGGAGCGGTTGTCCCTGAAGGTCGCG